TTATTATAGATGGGAGAGTCTATTAACTATAGAATAGGTGTATTTCACTATAATATTTACCAAGGTTATCTGTGCGTAAGTGAATATAACGAACCCAATTGGAATTTGACCTCAACTCTCTGATTAACAATTTCGAGCCAGTATCCATTATCCCAACTGCACCTTGTATTCCCTGGTCAATTCTAATATTACGTCAAATATTATAAGGATAGCGGGTTACGAACTGGAAGAAATTCAAGAATACATATACTTAAGTCAGGTGATGAGATGTAAAAAGACAATGAAATAATGTATAGCGATAAGTTGGAAGGCATTTAATAAGAATTAAGACATAATAAAATCATCTCACCAGTATGATAAAAGATAAAAAGTGTATAACATACGTATGGTGCCATCCATGACGCGCGGTTGCGAAATGTGGAAATTAAGAAAATTACTTGAAAATCAATTTAAAAAAAAGTCAAACAATCATTATAATGAGAAAAGCTAGAGAAAAGGCCAAGAGATACAACGGTTACAACATGAAACATATAGACCACGGCATAATAAGCGGTGTCATAAAATGAAGATAATCGGGATACATAGCTAAAAGAAAGGATAACAGATGGAGCAAAAGGTTTCGAGTCAATGAGTAGCAAATGTAATAGAAAAAGACTAGACGTAAGATGCCGAGATGGGATAGAGAAGTTTGCTGGCAAGACAAGAGAATCGCACAGTCACGGTCATCATGGAATGATTGAGAAAAGGCCCTTGTTTAGTACGGAATCGATGCGATATATGATATATATATATATATATATATATATATATATATATATATATATATATATATATATATATATATATATATATAATTATCAAATCCTCCTAATAATTTCTATCATGTACATCATTGCTTGAACCGGCTTCTAATGCTCTACAGTGAGCGGCTTGGTGATAGTAGTCGTGGCTCCAGGGGGCACAGTCCTATGGTTACAGAGAACTCAGTAGAATTCCACCACGGAATATGTGAGTGAGCGGCGCTTTGTTGAGTCTGATTTGCAATCTCTTCGTCACCGAGACCCAGTGGAACAGTTGGTATGATGTTTGCTTGACAAACTGTCAGGGTTTCAATTCTCGGTAGTGGATGCGCACTGCTGATGAATCCCAAATATAGGACGAAACGGCCGTTCAGTACTTTCTGCATTCTGTTGAGATTTCTATCAGATTCGATGAATTACTTAAATATAATTATCAAATTATCCTAATAATGTATATAATTATTTGTATATTATATGCGCGGTAGAAAGCGCTCAATATCAGAGATAACATATTTGGTTGGATTGATTTGAGTTTGTGACCAGGGTCGCAAATTCGCATCAATCCAACCAAATATATAGTGTATCAAAAATTCTTTTACAAACTTTGGGGGCGGACAAAAGTCCGTATAAACATATGCAGTAAATCCTTCCTTTTTGAGTTGTCAAGTTTAAAGAAATTTTACGATAGATGGCGGTGTGTTGCCATCTAGACTAGGTTACATTTGTTATTCGTGTAGATTTGTGGCTAGTCTGTCTTCAACGTTTAACGTGTGTAGTAGTGAGTTAACTCAGAAGTTTTCGGTTTAACAATGGCAGGATATTCATATTCTGAGCAGGAAGATATAATTTTTACACACGGCTGAGCTAATGGTAATAGACGAGAGGCTGAACGGGTGTATCAGATTGCGTTTCCAGACCAAAGAAAGTCGAGTCATCTAACCATTGCTGCTGTTTATCGCTGAGACAGGATCCGTGGTACCACAAACTAATCACTCACGACGGGAGAACTTTTGCTGATGGTTTCTTGCACAAACTGTTGAACCGTTGTTTCTCTCTTCAGTCTTGTTTACGGATGAGGCAATATTCAGAAGAGATGGAATAACAAATTTATAGAACCGACATTTGTGGATGGATCGGAATCCCTATAGTACAATACATGCTAGACACCAGCATCAATTTACGATTAGTGCGTGGGTTGGAATTGTAGGTCACTGTCTGGTAGATCCATATGATCTCCCAGCATATCTTACAAGGGCTGTCTACAGGGACTTAATTTCGAACACACTTCCAGACCTACGAATGGATGTACCTTTGCTAATACGAAGACGCATGTGGTTCATGCATGATGGGGATGCAGCACGTTGTAGTCACATTGTTCGCGGTGCACTGGTTGATATCTACCACGAAAGATGACTAGGTAGGGGAGGACTGGTTCCATGGCCTGCACGCTTTCCCGGCCTTAATCATTTATCTGTGGGTGGCGGTCACCTAAATTAACTGGTTTATACAGCAGACATTAATAATGCAGAGATGCTTCATCAACGTGTCATGGGGGTCTGCGAAACCATTCGAAACCGTGTGTGAGTATTTGAAAGGGTCCACCAGTTAATGATCGGACGGGTGCATGCGCGTGTAAAAGGAAGCGGTAGACATTTTGAACATTTGTTATGAGGTACAACGATAGCCTTTTGGACACATGTTTATATGGACATTTTACCTTGTTTGATATCATGGAATTCCCCCCAAAGTTTGTAAAAGTATTTTGAATGGTATCTTGGATTGCACATTTAACAGCATCTACCGTAAACTTTAAACTTAATGACTCAAAAATGAAAGATTTTCGAACATATGTTTATATGGACTTTGCCCTTAAGAACATACAGGCGGGTAATTAAAATATAAGGATACAGATATCTTTCCACACCCTTTCTCGGACCAATCTTAATTGTTTTATTACTCTTTGAGCAGAAGAACTTTCTTACAACCAGTCCAAGAAAGATATTTGTGTCAGTACTACCCAGCCAAAAAAGAGAATTTTAATATCGAAAAACATAAAGCAAATTAATTCATTTTAATAATAGGTGGAAATAGTCACTCTTTACCTGAATAAGGTTACGAGACCGGAAACACGTGTACTAAAATTATGGAAAATAAAATATAATACATATTTTAAAAAAAAATCCATATTACAACCAAAAACTTTTGCGAATTCTCTCTTCTTTTTAAAATATACACTTTTCTCTCGTTAGAGCAACTATAACCTCTTCCTGTATATATATATATATATATATATATATATATATATATATATATATATATATGTATATATGGAAATGATGAGACAAAATGAAAAAAGCTGGAAACGACGCGTTTCGCCGCTGATTTCGGTTTCTTCAGATCAAAATCAAAATTAAAGACGAAACTTTGTGTGAGGAAAATCTGTTGGGATATTTTTTTAGAATAAGAGGGGGCCATTTCCTTACATATATTTTTGTCTTTAATTCTGACCTAAAGATGCCGAAAACAACAGACGTTTGGTGAAACGCGACGTTTATGGCTTTTTCACGTTGTCTTAACATCCCCACTTTTGTTTCAAATACGATTATGCATCTTACAAGGACACACACACACACACACACACACACACACACACACACACACACGTGGGCCAAAAGTAGGCTTACAGTTGTTTCACGTTTTAGATCACAGCTCAGAACAAGAGCTAACGTCTCCGAACTGTTCTTTCAGCAAGATGGAGCATCTTCCAATTTTACTTTGGCAGTAAGGGACTACCTTAATGAAGCCTTTCCACACAGTTGGTTAGGAAGAAGGGGCGGTATCGAATGGCCACCAAGTTCACCTGACCTAACGTTAATGGATTTCTTTTCTTTTTTTTTCTTTGAAGGTGGAGTGTAATAAAGATGAAGGTTTATGAGAGAAATCTCCACACAGTAGACGAATTAAAAGAGTACATCTCAGAGATACTTATTGAAATTGAGGCAGCTCGGGATTTGTGTTGTGCTGTGTGTCATCATGTTCTGGAGAATTTCGGAGAATGTTGCAACGTTGAAGGACATTTTAATCGCTTTAGATATTAAAATGTGCTAATCTGTTTAACACCTTACTTACATTTTGTAAGTAAGGCGTTAATCAAATGTCCATAAACAGTTTTGAACAAATACGATTGTAAGAAACAAATCAGTCAGTCAGTTATATGACATGCGTGATATACGGTTAGATGATTATGTATCTTTCGATGCATGACTGACGAGGCAGATTTTTTTCCGGAGTAGGTTGCTATTTCTTTCTGCGGTAGATCAGTTGCCATCCCAGGCTATAGAACCCGGTCTGTCCTGCTATTTATCCATAGCTGGGAGGGGAAGAGGAGGATTCATACCAAGAGTATTAGCACCTAAGTGAATGTGATTGATTCGACTGGAATTCGAACTCGGCTTCCCGATTACCTCAATCCGAGCCGCTATCCATTACTCCACCGTGCCTCCTCAGGAACAAATATATATATATATATGCAATAATGTATGTATTTTGTATATGTTTAAGTTGGATTCTTACGTAGCTATAAAAGACAGTGTTTATAGAGTGAAATCCATTTTCAGCTTGATAAACATGCATGTGCACACTTGCGTTTAAACAGAGACAAGCCAGCAGAGAGATTGAGACGCAGGCATAATTCTGCAGTGTGCCTGGCCTGACTTATTCTATGTGTGATTTGTATGTCTTTTAAAGCGGGTGCATGCATTGCTACAAAAGACGAAAGCAATTAACCTCTTTGCTGATATCAACTTGAAAAGCAATACTTTGTTATGTTCACATGCTCTAAATTCGGCCTGCATATTCAACGCACACTGACAAGCGAGGCAAGCAGTTAAAACGTATTGACACGCACAGCACACAAGAGTAAGCAGAAAACAGGAGACACGCATTTAGCGAGAAAGGGAACAAAAAGAGAGGAGACATGAAAAAAAAGAAATCGAAAAAGAAAAGAAGCAGACAACGGCGTAGAAGTAAGGTTTGTTAGTATTGGGTCGCCCCAACAGAAGAATAGAAGCAAGGAATAAACAGTTCTTATTTAAATTTAATCATTTTTATTTCAGACGAAGACCTGAAATAAATAAATAAATAACAAAAGAAAGAAAGAAAATGGGAACAAGGAGGATTGAAGAAAGAAAGAAGGAAAGATTAATAAAGGGAACGAAGGAAAAAAAGAAAGAAAGAAAGAAAAAGAATGAAAGAAAGAAAAAATGTGAAAAAGGAGGATTGAAGAAAGAAAGAAGGAAAGATTAATAAAGGGAACGAAAGAAAGAAAGAAAGAAAGAAAGAAAGAAAGAAAGAAAGAAAGAAAGAAAGAATGTGAAAAAGGAGGATTGAAGAAAGAAAGAAGGAAAGATTAGGAAAGAGAACATATGGAAAAGAAAGAAAGAAACACAGAAAGAAAGAAAGAAAGAAAGAAAGAAAGAAAGAAAGAAAGAAAGAAAGAAAGAAAGAAAGAAAAAGAAAAAAGAAGGATTGAAGAAAGAAAAAAGTAAAGATTTGTAAAGGAACAAAGGGAAAAGAAAGAAAGAAAAAGAAAGAAAGAAAGAAAGAAAGAAAGAAAGAAAGAAAGAATGTGAAAAAGAAGGATTGAAGAAAGAAAGAAGGAAAGATTAGTAAAGAGAACATATGGAAAAGAAAGGAAGAAATAAAGAAAGAAAGAAAGAAAGAAAGAAAGAAAGAAAGAAATATCTGGAAAGAAAACGAAGTGAAAAAAGAAAGAAACAAGGAAAATATGTAAACAGAGGATTGAAGAAATAAAGTAAAAAGAAAGGTTAGTAAAGAAAGAAAGAAAGAAAGAAAGAAAGAAAGAAAGAAAGAAAGAAAGAAAGAGAAAAATAAGAAAGAGCACGAAGAGAAAAGAGATTACAAAAGTAAGAAAATGCCCTAATGGACGATTGAAAAAAGAAAGAAACAAAGAAAGAAAAAGGAATAAAAAGTAGAAAAGACAACGAAGAAAACGAAAAAAAGAAAAAAAAAGGAAAGAAGAAAACCAAAAATGAAAGAACATTTAAGAAAGAAAGAAAGAAAGAAAGAAAGAAAGAAATATATCTATTCCAAGGATTTACAAAAAATAAATAGAAGAAAAATAACATTTGAAAAGAAAGTAATAATAAAATAGAAATAAACATTGAAGCAAAGAAAAGAGAAAAATGATGGAATGTCAGCGTAAATAAAAGAGATGAAAGAAGAGGTAGAAAAGGTCTAAAAACAACGGGAAAAAAAGTAAAAGAAAAATGAAAAGAAAAGAAAAAAGACGGAAGAATTAGCAAAAGCAAAAGCAGAATAAACGTGAGAAAAATCGAAAGAGCAAACAAAAATCTCATATAAATACATACATACATACATACATATATATATATATATATATATATATATATATATATATATATATATATATATTTGATTATTAGATTATATATTGTTCTGAACTAGCCGAAAGCGTTTGAAACAAGCGCTTTTGGGTAGTTCAGAACAATTATAACTATGGACAATTACTATATTCTTTAACCGTTAAAAAAACGAAAAAACGTTAGATTGCTGAAAATAAAAGTTTAATTAAATCTTCCTTGCCGGCCGTATCCAATATATATATATATATATATATATATATATATATATATATATATATATATATTGTAAGAAAATTGATATAAGAAAGAGAAAAGAATACACAAGAAGAAGATCGGAAGAGAAAAGAGGTAAAAGTGAGACAAACAAACGTAGAAAAAAGAACGAAAATCTTTAAAAATGAAAGAAATTGAAAGAGCCACAATAAAGCAAATTAATGGAAAGATTGTACCTCAATGCAAAGGAAAAGAACGAAATAAAGACTTATTTGGACAGTCAAGTAATTTTCTTTTTTAATGTTTGTCGATAGTGTCTGGCCGTTTTGAGCAGAAAGCGAATGACCTAAAGGAAAACGATGGTTTATTTATTTGAGTCGGGGTGCTGTTGGTCATAAAATCAGTGAGACTTGTGAGACTACCTAATATTATATATTACCCTAGAAGCCGCCCTGGGGACAGACTTTAGACTACCGCCTATGAAGGACTTCTGGGCCTTCGGCCTTCAGCGTCCTATGCACATAAATTTTATAAGAATTTAGAAATAAACTTATTTTATCTTTCTTTATTTAACACCTTAATTCGGCATAATCTTTCTTCGTATACGTTTGTTTAAATTTATTTTGCGCGTAATTTTTCTTTTCTTTTAAAATCACCATTTTTTATGATCCATTCACATAAAGTCATTCTTAAAAGACATTAGAGAACTCGAACTATGTAATATTTCGAATACATCACAGTACACGTGCTAGAAAAAGAAATACATATGAGCAATGTACTATGCCCGGGTTAAGATTTAATTACGGTTTAATTGGATGATATCAATTGTAATTGCGATGAAAAGAGAAATTAAAGTTAAACATTTAATAAACAATTGTTTTTTAAACCTTTCACTCTGTTCGATATTTAAATTTAACTGTAAATGAGTTATTTATTTAATTTTTAATCTCGTGTAACTACAGTAGTTACTATCAATTACTTCAGGTTGTTTATGATTCGGCTAGATCGAAAAGCGGACGGACAGACACACGTGCATTGAACTTTATTTATATAGATATATACGTACACACACACACACACACACACACACGAACGAATAAATGACCCGAAGTTAATAAAAATAAAAAGTTTGATCGCCAAAATCTTTACGTTATTAAAATGAAAGACCAGGGTATTTTTTGATTATTTAATTATATCTCTTAAACCTTTTTAGAACGCTTGAAATTTTAGTTTAAAATCTCGATTTTCTTGCGTCAGTGGGCAGTCTATAAATTAGCATAGAAAATCTTCGCGTCTTTTTTGCGATGAAAAACACTTTGTTTTGGAAATTATTGCAAAAATGAAAATGGCGGATCTTAATGGAACTTTCAGGGCTTATGCACAAATCAATGACATTTTAGAAATGTCTTGTTATAGAAAATCGTGTTAATCTATTACTTCCCACTTTTATGATATTTCGAGAAATTAAATTTTATAAAGTTTAATATTTATACTAGTTAAAAGCCAAAAACTATTTTGAAATTTTTGTATGTCTATAAACGTGCTGATTATTATAGGTACGGCTGTTTATACTTGACATTATCAGAAAATAAGAGCGATAACTATAGTAAATTTAAAGCATCTAAAATTCAATAAAACATTAGATTACGGAGAATATTTTCCTAAATTTTTAAGATTACTAAATACTTAAAAATTATATAAAAAAGGTGCTCACGTTATATTCCTCAAATATTTTTTACAGATATATCCACCGTAGAAAAACATTAAATAAGTTTTTATCTTTTATTCAAGCTGTTAACATGTCAACACATTAAATAAACAGCTACCGCCGTGTTAAAAAGAATGTATATCTGCGATATTTTAAAATTAAATAAATATTTGTTTCATATCAGATCAATTAAACGTTAATTCAGCTAATATTTCTCAAATAAGTTTCAGAAAAGTACATTTTAAGATGCTTTAATAAGGAGAATTACATTCTGATCAAAGATGGCTAAAATTAGCGCTAAAATCAACTATTTTAAAACAAAAACTCATTCCAGTCAATTTAAATTAGTTTTGAAATACAGCAAAGTATTTTGCTTTTTGGAAATATTAAATATGATCTATTAGCTTGAAATTAAAACTAAAATAAAAGCTTCAAGAAAGATTTTTCATTTTTTTTAAATTCATTTTCAAACTTAGGTATCGCGAATCTGTGGAGGTGCCTAATACATACATACATACATATATATATATATATATATATATATATATATATATATATATATAGTATTCAGGTGTCAATTTTCTCGGTCAGATGTAAGCATTTGAAAAGCCAGGTTTGTGTTAAATATACGCAAGCCAATGGAAATGTTACAGCCAATGGCAGGAGAAAAGTATGGAGAGAGAGAAATGGAAAGAGAGAGAGAGAGAAGAAGAAGAAGAAGAAGAAGAAGAAGAAGAAGAAGAAGAAGAAGGGAGAGTGAGAGAGGAGGGAGGGAGAGAGAGAGGGGGGATAGGGAGAGAGAGCATTAGAAGAGAGCAAGTGGGGAGAGTCTACCAGACAAACTAGTATTGTACACAATAATAATAAAAAAACAATCTATATTAAAACCTAGTTTTGGCGATAACTAGAAAATTTAAAAAAATGCACAGAAAAATTAAAAGAAAATTAAGTACAAAAACAAACGAGATACATACGTAAGGTTTGCACAGACTTTTATATTTCCTTATTATACTGTACAAAAATTATGCATGTATATAATATGTTTGCAGACATTTTGTGTGTTCTTTTTCTGGGCGTATTTCAAACAAACACGGTGCGTAGACCACATAGCCAAAGAGTTTAAGATACAGCGCCAGAATGAAAACAGAATATAATTTATCTAAAATGTTGCGACACACATAGATAAACACATATGATTATATGTGCATGTGCACCGGACATTTGGCGGATTTTACAAGCACTTAGACAGATGTTATACTATGTCATTACCGGTTGCGTGCAGTGAAACTGGCACGTGCATTGGCCTGTCACCTATCTTGTTACTGAGACTATCATTCAACATTAAAGTCAACATAGAGAAAGAAACCTCTGAGATTCGATTAAATAGATCAGACGCGGGATTGGGGCAAGATTTATTTTTTTACAATGATGTTCTCCCTGTACGAGCCTTAAAAACCATTCGAGATAGATGACGACAGAGTAAGAGGCATAATTTATGGGTAATATATATAGGGAAGATAACCCTAGACTTGAATCGGTTAAGGTTGTACCGGTCGGGGAAGAATCGTCTTGGGAGTCGGTTCTATAAAGAAGCGGTTCATGAGAAGAAGCTTCTTGGGTGAAGCTGACGAGGGTGGGATGAAAAAGTTCATAGTGATGCTAGAGCTGTGAAATCTTGCATACTGATGTAATGGAATAACCTGACACCCCCATGAGTGACTACACTATAGGTAGTTACTGCCTATAAGTATCTGTAAGTCAACGGACAACGGAGACTAGCTGGGATCTACCCGACCCCGTTTTATACGGGGTCTACGGGAGTTTTTGGCCAAGCCTATGGGCTCGAATGCCCCACATTAAACACAGCTTTGTGTCACATCTGATCGCGTTGGGAGGTTAGTAAATATACTAGCTGGGATCTGTTCGAGCTGTGCTGTCGAACTCTCTGCCCGAAGGCAGAGAGGAACTTGAACGAGGCTATGCCGAAGGACAGAGTCTCGTCCGGGAAGGTAGACAAACCCGAACCCGTTTATGCGGGTTCTACGGGGAATTTTTGGCCGAGCCTACAGGCTTGAATGTCCCATGTTAAACTCGGCCTTGTGCAACATCTACCCTCGTGGTGGTGGTGGTGGTGGGGGCGGGGTTAGTAAATATTGACTAGCTGGGATCTGTTGAGTACGACTCAAACTTACGCGAGAACTACCAAAGTTCCAATAGTAGCACTCACTACTGGATTGACTTGCGACGACCTTGTGCATAACTGTTACCTTTATTCTTATTGTACTGGTTTTTACAATAAACCTTTACTTATTTTATCCACATTTTTTTTCAAGTATATATTCCTATTAGCACGGTATATAACACATACATTAATTTCAATTCTTATTAATAACTGCACTGTTTTTTTTCCACGTAAACTGACTGCTCAAAGAAGACTTTAGATGTAACTAGTAGTAACTTCTCTTGAAAATGGACAACATTTGGCATCCCGGTGTTATTCAATACGGATAGAAAAAGAGTTTAGTACCTATCCTCACAAACGATATCCATACTGACATGGTTATTATATTAGGGGGTGACGCTCCAACTTTATCAACAGTGCAAACGTGGGCAACTGAATTTAGGAAGAGGCGGGGACTTTTTAAGATGACTCAAGGTCTAGGCGTCCTGCGACTGCCACCACCGAGGAAAACATTGATCGTGATACCACATGGTGATGGATGACAGGTGATTATCTATAAATCAAATAGCCGGTGCTATTAGCATATCCTCTAAGAGAGCCGAAAATATTCTGCACAATGAAAACTTGGTATGACGAAGTGGCTGCGACGTCTTCTGACACTTGATCGAAAGCGCACCAGGCTGATCACTTCACGGGAAAATCTGATATTGTTTTGAGGCAACTGCGGCTGGTTTTCTTGAACATTTCCTAACTCAAGATGAGGGTTAGGGTTCATCACTTTGAGCCAGAGACAAAGAGACAATACATGCAGTGAAAACAACCCTCCTTTTCTGCTCCATAGACGACCAAGGCCGTTTCCTTTGCAGGGAAGATGATGGTCTTTTAGATGCCAAAAGTACTGTGTTTATTGACTATCTTCAAAAGGAAAATGCCATCAATGGAGAGTACTATGTCAAATTGCTGAGGTAGTTACAAAAGGCTGTCAAGACCAAACGCTCAAAAAAACTTACGAATGGCGTCTTGTTTCATCATGACAATGCTCCAGCACAGAATTCCTTGGTTACAATTACTGTGCTTGACTGGCCTTGAGCTGGTTGGTCACCCTCCCTGTTTTCTATTTGACTATCATCTGTTCTCCAACATAAAAAAATGGCTGGGAACCAGTATTACAGTGAGGATGACGTCATATCTATTGCTGTTGACTTTTTTTTAACCAACAGGATGCACAGTCTTCTTTGAACCGTCAGATGTCAGTATACCTAGAAAGAAACAATGCAGCTATTAATAAGAAAAGATGAAATTAATGCATGCAAAAAAAATTTCACCTCTAAAACTTTTAGGCCACCCTCGTACATCTCACCTATAGAATACGGAGGGTATATTGGTGGTTCACTGCATAGGGCGTGGCATGGTAAGTTTCTGTCGTGAATATTAGAACTGGTGGAACTAAGGAATGTAGTTCGTCTGAGCACTTTTCATAGAAATAGTGATAGGTCAGCGAGAGGCATGCGACGTTTCGACCGTGGGAAAGGCGTTGTATGATGGAAATTAATTCATCGCCTACAAGGACGCGGAGACACATTTGAACCCCTTTCAGGACTGAAAAGTGAAGACTGGGCAGCAGTACTGATCTGGCTGTTGTAAAAGTTGCAGGATAGAAGGAGGAGTCAGGTACTTACTGGAGCGGTACAGGGATATGAAAAAGGTAAACGCAGAAAATGATGGGAATAGATAGATATGAACAGAATAAGATAGATAGGCAGATTATCTACAGCCAGACTAATATCCTTATCTTTGTTGTTATCCTAACATTTCAGCTGTTGTGCCCTCCGGCTTTCTTCAGATCGCTGTCGATCCCAGTAACCCTCAGGTAATTTCGAATTGAAACCTTTATTTGATTTACACTGCTAAGTTGTCCTTGTTCAGCCGTTCCCCTTAGATTAGTCCGACTTTAAATAATGTAAATAAGAAAACTCGACAATGTTTAACCTTCGTGCTCCCCTCCCACAAAAAAAAATGGTGTGTCAAAAGGACGGTTATTCCTTTGACACCGCTATTACTGTATACAATTTTACTCCCTCGGCAATAGTTATTGTTTTAAGAAGCAATGAATAAAACCCAAATACATGCAAGTGTTCACAATTTCTTTATTCTTGAGAATTAACAATAAATATATTAAACACTATTTATTTATTAGATTATTTATTTAGAAGAATAATTTTACATTTACAAGATTATAAAAAGAAGGGAGCTATAACGAATTATTTATTATTTACCGTTACACACACACATACACACACACATATATATATGTATATATATATATATATATATATATATATGAAACATTTTTTATTCATGAATTTATAAAAATATCTGCGAACAAGAAAATAAACATATAATGACGAGTAATTATAAATTTTGAAAAATATATTTTCCTGGCATTTCTTTTATTTTCTCTCGCCACATTTTTACTAAAACGGGTTGAAAGCATTTCTTCCTCAATTTCTTTTCAAATTTATTTCTTTATAAAATGGTAAATAAATCTTTATAAAAGTTAAATAATAAATATCGCATTTTACTTGGTTCACATATTTTTACAATCTTGTAAACATGGAAATTTTCATTAGTCATTTTGCGAACGGGTAATTGTTTTTTTTTTTTTTTTTTTTTTTTTGACCGGGCAATAACAATTATTTATTGAAAAAAGTTTGAACAAAGTAACTATAAAGAAAAAGTTGTTTTTTTTTTTTTTGCTATCTTCTGCCAGCCGTAATGATAGAGAAAGCATTACCTCGCACCATCGCCAGTGAGACACGCTGCAAGAGCCATTGCGTATGGCTAGGATCGTCCCTTAATCGAGACGCCATTGCGCCAGTCCTCCGAAGGATCGCCATCGAAAGAGAGCCAATAACCCCAGAAGTCTCCACTGCCACAGGAGTCAATATATATATATATATATATATATATATATATATATATATATATATATATATATATATATATATATCAGCAAGAGAAGAATACTTAACTATTATTTATCTTGTAAATAAAAATTACCGAGGGAGTCAAAAGTGTATACAGTAATAGCAGCGCAAAGGGAAATACCGTCCTTTTGACATACAGTTTTTTTTTGTTTTGTTTTGCGTGTTCGAATGTTAAATATTGCAGAAAACTGCTCAACCCGGAAATTCAGATAGGTAGATAGATAGGGAAAGCGAAAACCTTGGATAACAGCAGGATTAAATTTTGCTTCTTGTTTCAAAGATACTATTACTCCCACGCTCGCTATCTATTGTTCTCCTGATTACACTTTTCTCTTCCCTGTCATTATAGCGATAGGAGCGTGGCATGGAATGTTTCTGAAGTTAATGGATGCAAATTTTCTCACCTCTTCAAGGTCAGTCTTCAAATTAAAGTAATATTTATTTCATATCAGATTAATTAAACGTTAATTCAGCTAATATTTATCAAATAAAGTTTAAAAGTACATTTTAAGATGTTTTAATAAAGAGAATTACATTCTGGTGAAAGGTTGCTAAAAATGACGTTTGAAGTCACCGGCACCTGTTTCTCTCAACACGCTCTGGGGTGGGGGCCAGTGCTATGCAACCACGTCTTTCT